TAGCTTTTCAAACCCTTCTAGTTCTTTTGGTAGATGCTTTTAGGAAATCACATGCGTAGGTCGGGAAAGTGTAATGTGATGTTTTAAGTATTTTGTGGTGTATCGGGGAATAAAGGTTTCACCGATAGATTTCAGTAAGATTTTTTTTCGGTTTCTAAATAAGTTGGTCATTGTTTTTTTTTATTAATTTTTTTAGAATATTATATTTAATTTTTTTTAATATCTAGCCGAAATAATTTAGAGTCTTTTTCTTGCCATCACTATTGTTAGTAGGTATCCCACACTGTGATAATAGATCTTCCAGGAATGGTGGAATGCTGTAAGAGCCAAGGTTCAAATTTACTGTAGATGACCTTGCGATCAAAGCACTCTCGAGATATTTACGTCCTATTTGACGGTTTTCTCCTTTGATCATATATATATATATATATATATATATATATATATATATATATAAAAAGTGAACATACAAGTCAACATTAGAGGCGACAGACTGATTCATGCTAGACGCAATCGACAGATCAGGTGGCCTGACGATTGCATCTAGCATGAAACAGACTATCGCCTCTAAGTGTTGACTTCAATCTTCACTTTGATATTTACACACGCTGTATTTATGATATTGAGCACTTTATCCCATAAATATAGCAAAATATAAGAATATATTTCTTCATATATATATATATATCTTCTTCTTCTTTTTCTCCTGTGGTAATAGATCTGCAAGGAATGGTGGAATTCTGTAAGAGCCAAGGTTCAAGTTTATTGTAGATGACCTTGCGATCAAAGCACTTTCTAGATATTTACGTCCTATTTGACTGTTGTCTCCTTTGATCATATATATATATATATATATACATATATATATATATATATAAAATTGAACATTGAAGTCAAAACTTAGAGGCGACCGGCTGTTTCATGCAAGCCGCAATCGTCAGGCCTGTCGCCTCTAAGTGTTGACTTCAATGTTCACTTTTATATTTACACAGGCTCTATCTCTGATATTGAGCACTTTATCCCATCAATATAGCAAACTTAGCAAAATATATTTCTTCTTCTTCTTCTTCTTCTTCTTCTAATAATAATAATAATAATAATATTCTCATTCTCCGTTTCGATTACACCCAGCGTCGTGCGTTTTTTTTAATTTATTTTTGAAAATTAAAATGTAGCGTTCATTAGTGTTTTTAAAATAATCAAGGATTAAGAGCGCATTTGATTAATATAGCCTGAGGATACCGTAAGGTTGAAACCAATATAGATGATTCAACTGACGTGATTTATATATATATATATATATATATATATATATATATATATATATATAATATTAAAAATAAAAAATAATATTACAAACTTTGGGGTCAGGTTCCTTACACCAAAATAGGGACAAAAATCTATATAAACATGTTTTCAAACCATTCGCTTTTCAGTTATTAGGTTTAAAGAATGTTTACGGTAGATGGCGTCGTGTTACCATGTAGACAAGGCTACATTTGTCATTCGTGTATATTTTTTTGCTAGTCTGTCTTCAACGTTTAACGTTTGTAGGAGTCAGTTAACTGAGAAGTGTTCTGTCTAACAATGGTAGGGCATTCATATCGGGAGCAGGCAGATTTGAGCTTTATATACGGCCGCCCGAATGTTAATGGGTCCGAGGCTGCACGGCTGTATCAGATTGCGTTTCCAGGCCGAAGGCAGCCGAGTCATCCAACCTTTGCTGCTGTTTATCGTCGCGTTGCTGAGACAGGATCAGTGGCATCACAAACTATGGATCGAGGAAGACCGAGATCTGCTCGTACGCCTGACCACGAAGAACACATTCTACAGGTTGTCGGAGACGACCCAAGTATCAGCACACGTCAAGTGGCCCTAGAATGTCGTACATCAAATAGTACCCCATGGAGGGTACTTCAAGAGCAGCTCCTGTATCCGTATCATTTGCAACATGTGCAGGTTCTTTCGTCCTCTGATCACTCACCATAGAACTTTTGTTGATGGTTTATTGCACAAAGTCTCGATCCGTTGTTTTATTTCTGCAGTCTTGTTTACGGATGAGGCAACATTTGGAAGAGATGGAATAACAAATTTGCATAATCAACATTTGTAGGGGTATAGGAATACAGGCTAGACACCAGCATCAGTTTAGGATTAATGTGCGGGCTGGAATTGTAGGTGAATGTCTAGTAGATACATATGTTCTCGTAGCACGTCTCACAGGTGCTGTCTATAGGGACTTTATTTCAAACAGACTTCCAAACCTGCTAGGGGATGTACCCCTGCTAATACGAAAACTCATGTGGTTCGTGCATGATGGGGTTCCAGCGTTTTTTAGTCACATTGTTCGCGATGCACAGGCTGGCATCTATAATGAAAGATTGATAGGTAAGGGAAGAGCGGTTTCATGACCTGTATGTTCCCTCCACTTCAATCCTTTGGATTTTTATCTGTGGGGCCAACGAAAACAATTTGTTTATGCAGCAGACTTTAATAATGCAGAAATGCTTCATCAACGTGTAATGGGTGCCTGCGAAATCATTCGACACCTTGTGGGAGTATATGAAAGGGTCCGCCAGTCAATAATCCGACGCGTGCATGCGTGTGTAGAAAGGATGCGGAAGTCATTCTGAACATTTGTGATCAGTTGCTAAAGTACGCAGGCCGGTAGTCGAAATAAATACTGTTTAAAATATACTGAACATGTACTCAAATATAGCTTTCCACTAAAATAACGTTTGACGTAATATATATATATATATATATATATATATATATATATATATATATATATATATATATATATAAAAAAGAACGAAACAAATATAAATTCAAACGTTCACAACTTAAAAGAGAGCTCAATACAAAAAGTAGAGTAATAATTATTTATTATAAGTTATTACATTCGAACAAGCAAGAGTTACCACTACTAAAATGCATATTTGTTTCGTTGTCCAATTCAGGCATCTCATCGAGTGGTGATCAAAGATATATAATATCTTTGATCACCACCCAATGAGATGTTTGAATTGGGCATCGAAACAAATATGCATTTTTGTAGTAATAACATGTGTGTTCGAATGTAATAACTTATAATACATATCAATTTTCAAATAATTGTCCATTTCATAATGTGTGACGTCATTTGTTTACAATAGGATGCGCTTTGACCAGATATGAATGTACGTGAGAGATTCATGGAAGATTGAAGTTTAAAGACAGTAAAATCGACCTTGCTAAACGAACGCCCCTCTGTAGCCAAATCGGTTAAGACACGTCAAGCTAAATGACGGTTCCGTATAGGATACAGGTTCGATTCCTGTGGGAGGACTAATATTTTCTGTGAAAATTTCTCGGACATTCAGGCCGGTAAATATTGTTTAATACTGTTTATTATAAACAGAGCATTTGTATCTATAAAAAAAATGTATAAACATAAATATGGCTTAATATACACACACACATATATATATATATGTACTTACGATGGCTGATCGAAAACATCTATAAAAGCAAGATTTCAACACATAACAATTCAGCATTTAATCTCATTCGAATTTCAATAGATTAGGGCAAGGTCTCATTTCTTTTACAAGTAAAATGGCTAGCAATTTCTTCTCTCGTACTTTGCGCTTGTGCAAACTCTCCTCCGACTTCTTGCTTTCCGGTCATGTTTGATCTTCAAAAATTTAAATGTGACGTCCATCGTTATCTTTTGTCTTCTTAATTCCTCTTCATGGTTCGCTCTCCCTTTTTTCTTATAATCTCTCACGCTCCTTAAGTTTTAGTGGCTTTATTGCCTTACCTGGTGTGAAATGAATGATTAAAAAGAAAAAAGAAAGACAGTGTGATAGTGTTGTAACCTAGAAAAGGTTACTGAATGAGGGATAATCAAAACGGAGGTTGGAAATTAAATAATCTTTATAACATCAACAAAATACAATACTCGCCAGCAGCGTGAAGTAGGTAAACCACTGCTATTGGGGGACTACTTAGACAGTGTATTGCCCCCCACTTACAATAGTGTCCTACGTATTTATGAGAATTGGAGCATACCCATTAATTTTCATAGGTACGGTATATAATAGATAGATGGATAGTGTTGTAAGCTAGAAGGTGTTACTGAATGGGAAATAACCAAAACGGAGGTTAGAAATGAAATGGTAATCTTTATAACATCAACAACATACAATACTCGCCAGCGGCGTGAAGTAGGTAAACCACTGCTAGTCGTGGACTACTTAGACACCATATAACCCCCCACTTATAATAGTGTCCAATGTATTTATAAGGAATGGGACATACCTATTAGTGTTCATAGGTATGGCATGTAACAGATAGAGTAAGAGGAATATTGAAATAGATAATTTATATTGTTAATTTTAAAAAAAGTGTTGTGTTTTTCGTATTTATCAATCCTTTCGCCCCGTTTTCCTTTCTTACTGTTAAATGATAAACGCTGTGTCCTCTCATTTTGTTGATATTTGAATGAGTGCATGAGCTTCCCATCCGCCCCGGTGACAATGTTCTTCTTAATCCCTGCCCTGAGCTGCCCCGATCACAATGGCGCCCGTGATGACGTCATGGAAATGATATTTCTCGGTTTTTCATCGCTTGGCGGAATTCAATGTCTTAATAAGCAGCGTCATCAAAACCCCCTCTCCCTCTTCTCCATACCATTCCCCATCTACCAACACGAAGGGGTGAATATGTTGCGTGGGAGGAGGGGGTAAGGTAAGTTTCTAATTCTAACACCACCCCACCTCTTTCTTTTGCCATTACTTGCCTCCATCTTAGAAGACGTTGTGTTCCTTAAAGATAGGGGCTTGCATCTTTAAATGGACATTGCGAATTGTGATTGCGTTTTTTTAGACATATGTGTATGCATTCTTGTGTGCGTTTGTCTCTCTGTGAGTGTGTGTGTGTGTGTGTGTGAGAGAGAGAGAGAGAGAGAGAGATGAGTGAGGGCCATAATTTCAAAGAGGGGAAAATAGAGACAGCTATAGAGTGAGAAAGAGAGAAATAATAGGAAAGAAATATGGATATAGAGTGATAAATAAAATGACTGGGGCGGGGGGGGGTGGCTATGAGAAGGTGAGCGATAAGGGGTTCTCAAATAGAAAAACAATCTGATGCAGAAACGGAAAACAGAGTGAGTGGGTGGGTGCGAGAGAAAGTGAAAGAGACAGAAAAGTGAGCGTAGAGACGTGAAGAAGAGAAAGTGAGAGATAATGAAAGAAAAAAAATGATAGATTGAGAGAAAAATACAAAAGACACAGAGAGAGAGAGAGAGAGAGAGAGAGAGAGAGAGAGGGGGAGGGGATGGGTGGGAGAAAGCCAAATAGCGGGAAGGAGACAAGATGGAGGGATTAAAAAGTTGGCAAATAATGAATACTTCAAGAGAAAAAGAAGACGGAAAATCAACCTGCTGATAGACATATAAAATGAACTAAGTTAGAAATATATGAACAGTGATAAATAGACAGACAGATATAAACATTTTGAGATAGATATTAATAGACTCATATATATATATATATATATATATATATATATATATATATATATATACGAGAGTGATAGATGATGAATAGATTAAAATAGATATGAACAGACTAATAAATAGATAGATATCAATAGACTCAGATAAACAGACAGACAAACAGACAGACAGATAGATAGATAGATAGATAGATCGGAACATACTAATATAGATAGATAGGAACAGACTATAGTAGATAGATATAAGCAAAGTTAGATACATAGATAGATCGATCTGAGATAGATCGATACGAACAAAGGTAGATAGATATGAAGAGAGTGAAATAGAAAGATAGATACTAACAGGCTTAGATACATAGAGTGTGAAATGGACAGATACATAGATAGATATGAACAGACTGAGATAGATAGATAGAAAGATAGATAGATAGATATGAACGGATTGAGATAGATAGATATGAACAGAGATAGATAGATAGATAGATAGATAGATAGATAGATAGATAAAAGACAGACTGTGCTAGATAGATAAAAGATAGAATGTGATAGATAGATAGATAGATAGATAGATAGATAGATAGATAGATAGATACGAACAGACTTAGAGAGTGAAATGGATAGATACATACATAGATATGAACAGATTGAGACAGATAGATAGATAGATAGATAGATAGATAGATAGATAGATATGAACGATTGAGATAGATAGATATGAACAGACTGAGATAGATAGATAGATAGATAGATAGATAGATAGATAAAAGACAGACTGTGCTAGATAGATAAAGATAGAATGTGATAGATATATATAGATAGATAGATAGATAGATAGATAGATAGATAGATACGAACAGACTTAAAGAGTGAAATGGATAGATACATAGATAGAGATGAAGAGAGTGAAATAGATAAGTACATAGATACGAACAGACTGAGATAGATAGATAGATAGATAGATAGATAGATAGATAGATAGGCCGGTAGGTAAGTAAATGCGTCTACATTTTTTCAGTCGTAATTCCTGCAAATATTTGTACAAACATAGCAGTTGAATCTGTCTCCATTCTTTCTCCTTCCTTGAAAGCTGGCCAACTGAGTAGCCTCCTTGCTCTTCAGTCCTCACAGCACACAATCTCGTTCGCGTGGGTTCATAAAAGACCTTGATCATCGGTTAAAGACTTTGCACCTTCCCGAAATCGTAGGCTCAAATTTCATCAAACATTGAGGAAATTGATATCAAACTCTGCGAGCCTGTTTGCTACTTTGTACCTTGTCGTTGCTTACGTGGGAGAACACTTTAAACTTTGCAAGTAAAAGAGATTGGCGCAGTACCTTGATAGTCTCAGCCCACTCCGCCCGGATAAATGATTTCCACCTTCTTGTATACCGTAATAAAAAAGGTAAACACAGTTTACAGTGTCCTAAAAATAGTATATCGTAGGGGTTTGTTATGCGACTGATGAGCACCTAAGAATGAAATTATATATATATATATATATATATATATATATATATATATATATATATATATATATTTTTTACACCTAGTTGACAAAAAGCCCAAGACTGTGTGTCTACCGAAAATCATCCAATAAAAAAGACTTAATAAACTTCCATTCCAATCATAACAACAAAATGAAATTTGGAATTACCATCCGAATCTAGTTAAGAGCATTCAGAATTTGCAGCCCTTAATATTTACACGAAGAGGAGAAATATATTGAAAATACCCTAACAATTTCATATTCAATGCGAAAAAAAAAAGGTTCATAAAGTATTCCAAAATAGAAGAGCTGTTCTTCCTGACAAACCCAACGAATCAAAAAATATATTATTCTACCCACTAACTCTATCACAACTACAATTGAAAAGAATTTATCTAAACTCAACATGAAATTTGTCACAACTAAATCTAAAAACTACATCTAAAACAATCAAAGACTCAATAAAAACAAAACAAGCCAAAACATGAAGGAGGAATTTACTCTATGAAGTGCAGGAATTGCCAGACTGAATACACTGACGAAACCTCAAGAAGTTTAAACAAAATATTATAATGAACACAAAAGGGATATTTTAAAGAACAACACACAAAACGCATTGGTTGTTCACCGTAACGAAACTAGCCACAATTTTGACATAGGGAATGCTACTTTGATTAAAAGAGAAAAATAATCCATTGAGACGAATATGTCTGGAAAGTGCCTTGATCGTTAGTTCAGCCAAGGTAAATTTGCGACCATTCTTGGTAGATTTTCTGTTGTCACAATGTGGTATGGTCAGGGACAAACGTGATGGAGAGAAAAAGAAAAAGAACGCAGATGAATTTGGTTAGATTGAAAAAAATATTCTTTCAAAAATATTCTTTCAAAAATTTTGAAAATTCCAGCATCTCTCGTTTCGCGCGCATGTGCAGACGGGGCAACATCAACAAAGCCCACTCCGATGAAATCCTAACGGATGAAACGCATCACAAAACTTTTTTCACAATTTGTCATACTATTTTTTAAATATTGTTGATATGTAAAGTTATATATCGTAATCGATATTTAAAGTTATATATCGTAATATAATAATTGCCACCTATGTACAGACGAAGGCTATCTCATGAACTTTGAGCTGAGCAGCCATGGGCTGCAGATGACTTTGCAAGCCAGCCTCGCTCTTGCATACCTTTTTACTTATGTAACACGCGAAAGGATTTTGGAGAGTGTTAAAATGACTTTCTCTTCATGCACTAGCACAATCACAAAACGGACATATGTACCCTGCTGGTTTGACAGGAAGGATATCCACATAGTCGGCATTAGACTGCCGACTTTCATATGATTTTGGCGACTAGAAAATCTGGCACGAGACAGAACAACCTACCCGCAGGTGTCAGATAAAAAGCTCACACTGAATATCTTCTAAAACCGAGTGTACATCACCTTTCCTCAAAACCCTTTTCTCCTTTGATCATATATAATGGTCTGCATTTTTGACCTCAAGACGATTGCAAACATCAAAAAACTATCTTTCCACCAACCATTCTTAATCACTGGCTCTTTTTTTCCAATCTTTGACGCTTAATTTCAGGAGTTTTCAGATTGCCTTTAATAACGTCAATGAAATGCATTTTGGGGTTGTGTCTGGGGCGGTTACCAAGACCTACCTTACAGTGAAAGACGTGCTTAGGCAATCTCCCAGCTTCCATTCTCCTGAGATGCCCTACACAGCGCAGTTGATTGTGAATTAGCAGATTCGTTATGCTCAATGTTTCGGCCCGATGCGGAACAACTGTGTGTAAAAGATTGCCACTTGATGCATACGATACACCTAAGGCACTGCTAAAACCTTTGCAAGCTTTTGACATGAGGGGGATATACAGTCCTTGTCTCCGCACGCACACTTACACAAATCAAATATAATATATATATATATATATATATATATATATATATATATATATATATATAAGCAGAAGGTGGTTGTTCGAATGTAATACGATTTTTGTTGTCTCCCAACTTCAGAGGTTTATGTGGGTTTATTTCCCACTAATAACCCATGTTTTAGCCTAGTTACAGACAAGTGTGGTAAAATGATGACTGACATGAATATAAGGTATGAAGTGCATTATTGAATTACTCCATGCAAAAGCTGTTCAACCTTTGACATTTACCGACGCG